ACATGCGGGAAGTTTCACTCTCAGCACCGCTGATTCTCCCGCCTAGACGATGCTTGGCGCGCAGAGTTTGGTGACGAGGCTGAGCGCCCCCGCTGGTCAGAGCTGCTTAGGTCTGGAGTTGATATCTTTGCTCTTGACTATGATGCTATCCTTGCTGCTATGTACGCCTTGACTGTTAGTGCTGAGGGCAACTGTTACTTGTGTGTGCCGCCCGACCCAGGTATAGAGGCTTCTGCTCTAGGTGCTAGTGAGTCTGCTCTCCCTGGTACTACGCTTGTTGAGGCCTTGCACACCTTTACGCTTGACTCTGGTGTTTCCCGCTATTTCTTTCGCGACAGTACCACCCTCACTCCACTCCCTGCACCTGTTCCGGTCCGACTAGCTGACCCTTCAGGGGGCCCAGTTCTTGCCTGTTCTTCCACTGTTCTCCCATGTCCGGCGGTTCCGTCCGGCTCACTCTCAGATCTTCACCTCCCCTCGTTCTCTATGAACTTGGTGAGTACCGCTGCCCTAGGATGCGATGGTCACTACCACCACTCCTGGGGGTCAGCGTGTGTCAATCTGCACGTGTACACGGACGGGCCGTCACCTGGCCACGTTCACCCGTTGGCCTGGGTCAAGTCTGTACACACTGACTACCGAGCCTCCTCAGATAGCTGTGTCTGCTCAGGTGTCCGCGTCAGGCCCGTTAGCAGCCCCCTGCTCCTGTCGCCTCCTGTCGCACCAGACTCTCCTGAGGCACCACCGACTTGGTCACCCCTCCCTGCCACGCCTTCGTGGCATGCACTCCTGCCTCCTTGTTTCTGGTCTCCCCAGGTCCCTGACTCCCCTCCCGCCCTCGCCTGCCCCGCCCTGCCTTCCTTGCGTCGAGGGGCGGCAGTGCGCCGCTCCTCACTCCTCCTCGTTTCCCCCAATGACTGCTCCCCTGCAGACTTTCCACATGGACGTGTGGGGCCCAGCCCGCGCCAGTGGACAGGACCGCAAGCGCTACTTTCTGCCGGTTGTTGACGACTACACGCGCTACACCACGGTCTTCCTCTTGCGCAGCAAGGGTGAGGTCCCTGATGTCTTGATCCCTTGGATCCGCGCAGTCCGTCTCCAGCTCCACGAGCGGTTCCGCGAGGACCTTCCTGTCCTGCGTCTGCACTCTGACAGAGGTGGTGAGTTCTCCTCCGACCTCTTGCGGGACTTTTGTCATGGGGAGGGCATCCTCCAGTCGTTCACGCTTCCGGCCTCCCCGCAGCGAAATGGGGTTGCTGAGCGCCGTATTGGCTTAGTCATGGAGGTGGCTCGTACCTCCATGATCCATGCGGCTGCTCCCTTTTTTCTATGGCTGTTTGCGGTCCGGTACGCTGCGCATCAGCTCAACCTCTGGCCCCGTGTCTCCTTGCCGGAGACCTCGCCTACACTGCATTGGACAGGGACGGTTGGCGATGCGTCAGTGTTCCGGGTCTGGGGCTCTCGTGCCTTTGTCCGTGATACTTCCGCGGACAAGCTCTCCTCCCGCGCTATTCCCTGCGTCTTCCTTGGCTTTCCCCCTGACGCGCCTGGCTGGCAGTTTTACCACCCCACCTCGCGCCGTGTCCTCCCCTCTTAGGACGTCACGTTTGACGAGTCGGTTCCCTTTTACCGTCTCTTCCCCTACCGCACTGCCCCTCTCCCCCCCCCCCCCCGCTCTTCCTTGCTCCAGGTCCCCCTCCGGTAGACCCCCTCCCCCCTCAGGGTCCTGCTCCCTCAGGTCTGTCTCAGGTTGACCCACTCCCCGGGACTGTGCCTGTCAAGGTCGCTGTAGACTCAGGTGCTGCTAGAGGTTCTGCGTCAGAGGGTGTGGAGCCTGGGGGTGCTGAGTCTGAGGGTACGGAGTCTGGTGGTGCTGAGCCCAGGGGTACTGCATCTGCTGGAGGTCCTGCGGGTGCCTCGCCACAATTGTCTCCCCGCCGGGAGCCTCTCTCACCACATCAGCTGCGCGAGTGGTTTGCTCAGCGCACACGCCTTTTGAGTGGAGTTGCAGGAGCTGGAGGCTCTGCCGCTGGAGGCACTGGAGCTGGAGGTGCTGGAACTGTTAGTCTTGGAGGTGCTGGGGTTACTGCTGGAGCAGGAGGTATTGGAGGTGCTGGAGTTGCTGGTCCTGGAGGTGCTCGTACTAGAGGTACTGGAGCTGCCGGAGCTGGTGGTGCTGGAGACCCTAGAGCTGGAGGCACTGGCCCTAGAGGTGCTGGAGCTAGAGGAGCTGGAGCTGGAGAACCTGGCGTTGGAGGCGCTGGAACCGTAGGCACTGATGGTGGAGGTGCTGGAGCTGGAGGCACTGGAGCTGGAGACTCTGGAGCTGGAGACACTGGCGCTGGAGGCGCTGGAGCTGGAGGCACTGGAGCTGGAGGCGCTGGAGCTGGAGGCACTGGAGCTGGAGACCCTGGAGCTGGAGGTGCTGGCGCTGGGGGTGCTGGAGCTGGCGGTACTGGTGCTGGAGGCACTATGCAGCGGCGACCGTTTTTCGTTCCACCGCAACCGTCGTCTCTGCCGCCACCTTACTCTGTCCTTTGACAGGTTCTTAGTATCCCGTCTTCTACTGGCCTTCCTCCTAGCTTACTGTGTCCACCGCCTCACCAGTTGAAGCCACAGTTACAGCAAGACTCCCCACTGCTTGCTCCTTCTCCTACGCTGAGTACACAGACTCTTTTACAGAGCATCGTGAGCCTGAGTCTCATCCTGCCTCGCCTGTTCGCGCTGTTCGCATAGGTCGTCGTGTTCCTCGTCCGCGTCCTCCTCCGGTCCCCGACACTCTCATTATGGCACTTCGTCCTTCCTATGTTCCACTGCGAGTTCCCCTGCCGCCTCCTCCTGCGTCCTCTCTTCTTGCCGTTCCTGACCCTGAGTCCGACTTAGCTCGTGCTGCTAGCCCTACTGTCCCTCGTCTTCTAGCCACTGTTGTCACCGACCCTTCTTTTGAGTCCACTGCTGTGTCTACCCTAGTTGCTGAGCTTGTTGACTTTGCTGCCGCCTGTCGTCTCGACTACGCCACTAGTCTTGTTGCTGAGTCTGCGTCTAACTGGGTGTTGTGCTACTTGTGTAGTACTTTGGGCATGGGGCTCCTGCTTGGAGGACGGGGTCCAGTTGTCCTCACTAGACACGCATACGCTTCTTGGGTTGACGACTTGGCTACTCAGCAGTCGTCACAGGGTTACACTTTCAGCCTTGGCTCCGGCTCTGTTTCTTGGCGGTCTACCCGCTCGTCTTCTGTTCTCAGTTCCAGTTGTGAGGCTGAGATCTACGCCGGGGCCATGGCTGCACAGGAGTTACGCTGGCTCACTTACCTGCTGACCGACCTGGGAGAGCGGCCTCGTTCTTCTCCAGTTCTGTACGTAGACAACAAGGCCATGATTGCCTTGTGTCAGGAGCACAGACTGGAGCACAGAACGAAGCACATCACTCTGTGTTACTTCCTTGCTCGAGAGTTGCAGCAGCGTGGTCTGCTTTGTCTTGCTTACGTGGTCACTCGGGCCAACACTGCTGATATATTCACGAAGGCACTTCAGTCTAGTGATCATCAGCGTTTCTGTACTGTTTTAGGCCTTGTGCCTACTTTGCCTCACTTGCTCACTGCGTGACTTTGCTTGTACTGTTATCTATATATATACCTGCTTGCTTACAATTACTAGGGTATGATCACTGTACTATTTGTTCTCTTTTATATAACTCTGCATGTTAACTGGCCTTGTGGCCATTTGCTTGTGCTCGGAATGTGTCGTGACTTCGTGATCCACCCTGAGCTTGCTTTGCTTTTCTTGACTGGTCTTGTGACCACTTGTTCTCCCCCACTTCGCCTATGGGGGTGTGTCAAAATGTTATAGTGCTTTCATTGTGTAGGCTGTAGTAGGGTAGCCCGTATGGGGTACAACCCAATTATGGTTAGTAGTTGTACCCAACTCTTTCATAGATCATCCATTCTCGTTCAGTATTCTGACATCGTGACCTTGCTTGGTCAAGGCTGGTGAATGGTGTGTGCTGTGCGTGCATGGTGGTGTGCTGTGGAGGGTGAACCAATGCTGCTGCTGCTGATGCTGATGCTGGGGTGGGAGCGCAGTGCAACCCTCCGAGTGCAAACCGGTACAGACAAGGGCCACAAACCACGGTGCACGGTGCGCCTGTTGACACCGGCATGTGACAGTGGCCCTTCCACCACTCCACCCACTTTCCTCTTCCTCCTTTGCTCTATTTCCGTGCACCATGCATCTTGGCCAGCCCTGAACAAGTGCGCTGGGTGTGACGCAATCACATGGACGCGTGGACACTGGTGAACAGAAGGCTGCCGTTTGTGTGGCGCGTTGGCGCAACAACTTTGCACTCTGGCTGACACTACAAGCAATAGATGCAGCAGGCTGACTTGTGGGCGCCTACAAGATGGAAGACAAAGCATGATCCGGGATACCTACCTCTGCAAAACCACTCTACATATGCCGGGCTTTGCCCAGATACAATACAGGTATAGCACCAAACCTTCCTAGTCTCCTTCTGCAGCTGGTGCATTTTATTCTGACTCACTCCTAGTCTCCTTGTCACCTTCCTCACCTCCTCTTCGCCTCATTCTTAGCCTGCCAAGGTGAGTGGGCCTTGCCATGGGATGGGAGGCTGCTGGGTGGCTCACGAGCTGGACTCCTGTGGCTCTGTGATCAGCACTCCGCAGGCCCTAGTAGCATGTGTGCCCGCCGAGCAACAGCTGCTTATCCACACACGCACCACTGGCTCTGCTCTCTCCTCACGCGGGGCTGTTCCCCGGGAAAAACAACTTGACGTGGTCCTTAATGCGCTTTTCCCCATGCCTGCTGCTCTAACTTTAACCGCAGCTCCTCTCAAGTGCTGTTCTCCCCTCAAGCGGTGCTCTTCCCGCGGAAGAACGACCTGATACGGTCCTTGGTGCACTTCTCCCCCTGCATGCTGCTCTCCCTGTAAGCACAGCTCCACTCAATCACTAATCTCCCCTCCTGCGCTGCGCTGCACTCCCCTCATGCAGTGCTCTTCCCCCGGAAGAACGACTTAATACGGTCCTTGGTGCGCTTCTCCCCCGACGCGCACCGGTCCTCGCTGTCATTGGACGAGCGGCTGCTGGGGGAAACGGCCGTCACGGGGGACGATGCCATGCTGCCCATCACAGGCGATGACGCCATGCTGCTGCTGCTGCTGCTGCTCGTGCCGTAGCTGCGCCCCTGCTGCCCCGCCTCCCTCATCTCCACTCCTCCCGCCCGCTGTTTTGCCTCGCTCCGCGCATGCCCATGTGCATGCGCATGTTCTTGCGCATGGGCATGAGCATGGCCATGGGCATGGGCATGAGCATGGGCATGGGCATGGGCATGGGCATGGGCATGGGCATGGGCATGTGGGTGCTGCGATCCGGCCGGTCCCTTCCCCATCTGCACGTCACTGTGCGACACGTGCTTCTGCAGTGCCCACCCGCCCGCATCCTTCATTGCTGAGTCAGACATCTGTTGGTCCATACCTGGCCCTGCCACGTCAGCAGCTGGCACGGAACAACTGGCTCGTTCCGTAGGCCCGGCCGGACAAGGTTCCCCACAGAGAAACTGCAGCACGACGCTGGTGTAGTCGTCTGGTAACTCATCCACCACGTCCCGCCCCGCCACCCCCATATCCACATACTCCCCGTACTTGCACAACAGGGCGGCTTTTCTCGTCGCCTTGTGCAAGGGCTCGCTCTCCCCAGCCATGCAGAGCATGGGCGTGTGAACTCGCTTGAGCAGCTCCGCATGATCCACCACCGCCATAGCTCTTGACAGCCATGGCCGCCGCTCGTACGTCTGCAGCATGTCGATCAGCGTCCGCACCTTCAGCTGCCACGGCACGCCGCCGTCGGGGAAGCGGCGGTGCAGGAACGTGGTGACAGCGTCGGGGAGGTCAGAGTCGTACTGGGCGTCGGGGGTTTCCTCTCGGAGGGCATCGCCGCGCTCCATGAAGCCGAGCATGGGCACGCCCCACAGCACGAGGCGGCGCACTATGTGTGGCAGCTCCGCTGCTATGTGGATGGCTACCATGGCCCCCGCCTCGTGCCCCACCTGAGGAGGAGCGGAGGGTGAGGAGGGGAAGGAGGGTGAGGAGAGGACGGTGAGGAAGGTGAGGAGAGAGAGGGAGTTGAAGGGAGGAACGGGTGGAGTGCGGAGCTTAGGTATGTGTTGCATGAGTGGTTGACTGTGGTAGTCCCACATCCTCTCATTCAGTTCCCCATCCACTATTCACCTTCGAGCCGCCTCAACAGCCACATCCATTTACTCACCTCCCACCCTACATGTTTCCATTCGTTCCGTCCTCCATCCATGCACCCATGCATGTCAGATCGATTCAAGCATGCATGCAGCCAACCTTCCTCTCTATCACCCAAGCAGGTCAGATCGATTCAAGCATGCATGCAGCCAACCTTCCTCTCTATCACCCATGCATGTCAGATCGATTCAAGCAAGCATGCAGCCAACCTTCCTCTCTAACACCCGTGCGTGCATGCCCCATCCATCCATTGCAGGTGTATTTGAGTACATCGTGCATGCACGGCACACTAGGGGGTGCTGCCCTGGATCTGTCCTGCATGGTATTTCACCGTGTCACCAACACTCACAATGTCAAATGGCGGCGAGAATCGAAGCGCATGAGCAGCTTGCAGCACAAGGTTCGCCACGTCAACCATGGTCAGCTCGCCGCTGGGGAGCTGAGTTGCTTGCGTGGGATCAGCACATGCTGACGCGGCACGGCACGACTCGCCGCTGTTGGGCAGATCCAGAGCCACGGCGTGCAGGCCGGCCGCCCCAATTCTCTTTAGCGCGGATGTAAACATGGCGGACGACTGGGCGGCAGAGTGCAGCAGCAGGATGGACGGCGGGCCGTGGCCGCATCTGCTCATCATCAAAGTGCACGAGGGAATAAATAACGGTGTTAGCAATGCTGTGCTGCAGAGCAGTGCCGACGATGTTGTGCTTTTTGGAAAGTAGAAGTGGTCCGGATCCACTTCTCAATCCTGGATCTACTGAATCCCAGATCTAACATCATGAAGCACAGATTGGTTTTGGGGTTGTCTGAAAAAACAGAGTTGGTTCGTGTAAATTCACTCTGAACGTCAATTTTGCTGATTTTACCCGACGAAGGTCTGATAGTCAGACTTTGTACACAAAAAGGTATGAAAATCAGATAAATCGGACTATAAAGAGTCAGAAACTTGAGGTTCTGCTCACAACCGGTCCCAAAGAACGTCAGACCAGAATAAGTCGTTTGGAATAATTGGGGGAAAGGAGCAACATTTTTTTTTTATGTGCAGCGAAAAGCTCTTATGGGACCCTCATAGCGAGCAGGACAGTGTTTCACATTATTCTTGTGTTTATTTTTTTTAAGAGGGCTGGTTTCATGCGTTCACTGGAGTTCGGCTCGTCGAACAGGCAATAAATGGAACCGTTAAGCGACAATTACCTGCGGTAGTGAATTTGTCCGGCCTCTGTGTCCACGTATCCCTTCTTCACATCGCTCGTACTCTCCATGTCTTGCAGATGGCTGAATAAAATACCGAGACGCTTCAAAATGCAGACGTGGACACGAGAGGTGTCGAGTTGAACAACAGAAATTTAGAGATCACTTCGTCCTTCTGTCGAAGAAACTGGAAGCCGATTATCGTTCAAAGATGGTCCTTCTGCACGAAAGAGGACTTGCTTGTGTTTTTGTGCAGATGCCATGGCACCCAACCTAACCACGTCTCGTGTGCTTCTTCGTGTGTGCAGCAACGAAGCCCACCACCTGTCTCTGGCAGATGAACCCAGCGAGAACCATTAGTTGGTCACAGCAATTATGCGCGGACAACAGTCGCGGGGTTTGTGCTGTCTTCTTGTGCCAGGGGTGGTTTCCATTTCCATACCCGCCCAGTCTGCACGAGACAACAGAGCGAGGCGAGAAACAACAACCATCCACCAAGCCGAACCCAGCTGTTTGAGGCGAGGGCGCTTGAGGAAGGTTGGGTTTGGTTTGGCCCGAAAAGCAACCACCACCACGCCACCTCACACCGCCTTTTACTCACTCGGTGATTTTACTTTGTTCAAGCATGATTATTTTGATGCTTCTCGAATCTCCTCGAGAAGTGACGAGGAACACCAGCCATAGTTTTTTCCAAAACAATGCAATGGTGCACGTATCGTGCCCCAACCTTCAAAGTCGTTCCGTACAGTACTTGCACAGAATTCCGATCTGCCCATCCACGACTTCCGCCTCGTTTCATAGAAATTATGTGTCGATCATCACAATGTTCTCGCCTAAAACCCTTAAAACAATGGTCCACTAACCCCGTGCTTGCCTACATATCACCCTCCGTAAACCCGAATACAATCATATAATCGTGCTTACTGCCTACAAATGCGTCTTTCTTCCCCATATGATGTATTTGCCCCATCATGCGGGGCACAAAGGTCAAAGAATGCTGCCATATGATTACTGTTTTGGATTCTTGCGCACCGTGCTAGAACCATCATCACTTGAATGAGCACAAATGCGCAACTGATGCGGAAAAGTGGCGGAAAATATGGAAATGTAATAATAGCATGTCGTCAGCTGTCGCAAGAAGCTTGTGACCTGACCAACCAACGGACCAGGGTCCGCCCCCATGCCCATGAGAGGGGAACCACTCATTCGTTGGACGCTGAACAGAAGTACCCAGTAGGCCAGTACTCATTCACAAGTGAGGCTGCATTATGACCAATCCCCAGCATATCGACTGTTACCCCAGACAAGCTGTCGTTTAGTATCATTACACACTGTATTCATATGACACTGAGTTTGATTGATTTTAGCTATATATTTCATAATATTTTTACAGCAAATTAACATTCTGGCCCATTTTGCAGTGCGACCATGTGGCACTCCCTGCCGAATTCTTAGTGAAAAATGTCATATATGGTTTCCATTATCATTATGTAGGCCCCGACTCAATAATCGGCGTTCTCATGCATAATAGCGTGAAATTGTTTATGTTGTGAAAACAATTGTGCACAATACGTATCATCTAGCTAAGCAACGTTATGCTTTTTCGTATTGTTACAATCCCAAGTGGACTTAGTCAGGATCTGGGTCAGGGTTAATCGCAAATATTGCACACCAGAAGTGTTGATTGATGACATTTGTCATATTGAATGTAAAACGACAGAAGTTGTTATAACAGAGAATTATTACGATTTACAGAAGATTACAACAGAATTTGAAAGGTCCTAACTAGCAATGTACTCAATGGACATTTATTTATTGCATGTACAGCGCAATTGTGCAGCGCGGGAACTCGTTGGACATGTTCCCGCCTTTTTTACATTTCATAATTTTCTGCCAGCAACCGTCTTCAGTCACAACTGACTTCGACCCTCAGGCTCGTCGTGTCTCTTCGCCTTCGTACTCTGTAGAGCTTCACTTTGTTACGTTCATGATCGCCAAGTATATTATTTATCCGAACACCCCTCTTCATTCCTGGACTTAGCATGTTTTGGCGCGCTTGGTGACTCCGCTAAGGTTGGCGCAATGTTGGTACCACTAACGTTATTGAGAAAGTTGTTGACGGGAATGGAGTGTTTGCCCCGCCCTCGCTTGGGCAACGCCGACGACTTGGTCGGATGTACGGGAGTAGTAGCCGACCGTTCACAGTGGGAGAGCTGCTCGACAGGCTTCGTCGAGTTGCAGGGGACCGCTGTGGGGTTGCTGTCGACCAGGGAGCTCGACATCTGCAACTCAAAGGTTTGGGCGACGGGTGGGCCGTCGATCAGGAGGGGCAGTTCGACTGGGAGGTCAACGGAGCAGTCCGTTAACCTTACAAGTGAGCAGCGGTCGACGAGGGGAGCTCGGCGACAACAGCTGACAGTTCTGGTCGACGGCAGGGGTCCGTCGACCAGGGGGTAGCTCGACGGGAGCTGTGGTCGACCAGGGGCATCTGGTGGTCGACCAGAGGGACTCAGTGGTCGACCAGGCGCACTTGGTGGTCGACCAGAGCACCTGGGGTTGTCCAGGTCGACCGGGTAACCTGCTCGGCGAGTTTTGCGGAGGCACGCGAACGTCGTCGAGGTCGCGTTGGCGAAGGCGACTTTGGGCTGGTATCCCGAAGTCGATATGGCTCGTCAGACGCAGACAACAGCCGACGGATGCGCAACGATGCAAGTCAGGCCAATCGTCTGCGCGCACCGGCGAGTGTGCGCACTGCTGTCTTCTACGGGGCAACGCTGGACAGCCGCTCTGCTGCAGCGTTGGCACACCGTCGACCTGCTGTGCTGGCAGGTCCCCTTTCTGCAGTGCTGGCGCGGCTCCTCTACGCAACGCTGGCAGGCGGTCGACCATGCTGTGCTGTCGGTCGACCAGGCTAGCTGCAGAGTTGCTAGGTGCCTGATGTAGTCATTGTTGTCATTGCTTGTTTAACAATTCGGGAATGCCAACTTTGCTAGTGAAAATTCTTGCCAATTTCTCCCGTGATTGTGCAAGCACTAAGGAACTAGGCAAAGCTACGATCACTCCTAGTAGTTCGTGCCAACCCCTGTAGTCTAGCTCACTGCCGTTGTAGAGTGAATCTCCGCATGGTGCAGTGAGCGTGGACGGCCCCGCAGATTACCTTCAGATTGGAGTCGACTTTTGCACCTACTAAGTCGTTCGTAGGCCGGCAGCAGCGATAGTCACCATGGTCGACCCCGTAGCTAATGCGGGTGTAGCGGACACCTTGGAGGCACGCTTGGCTGATGTGAGGAAACGCCACGCGGATGGCGAGTACGGGACGATCCCCTTGCTGATCGTCGAGTTGGGCATCCGGTTGCAATGGGCGACGGAACACCCATCCCGTCCTGTTTCTCCTCGACCGGTGCGAAACGAAGGTGGCGTCGACGACGAGGTCGACGGCGGTGCACGAGTCAGCGGCAACAATGGCACAACGCAGAGAGGGGTGATCAAGGTCGACGATGGTGTCGACAGGAGTCAGGCGCGAGTGCAGCGGTCGACGGCGGCTGCAGGCAGCTCGCGTGCTGACGACGATGGTCGACGTCGCTCTCCTCTACGAAGCGGCGGAGGGCTCTCGGCGACGACGCATGTGTCGGCGGGCGGGATTGCAGCGACGCATGGCTACTTCAAGTTCTCGCCGGACCGAATTACCGTCGCACCACTGCAAGGTCGACGGGACCTCATCACCTAGAGG